CACTACGTGACCTTCGACGGCGTGGGCGTGGCCGTGGGGGACAACTGCTCCTACGTGGTGGCCCGGAGCTGCGGTCCCCTGGGTGGCCAACCCGGGTTTGATGTCACCATCAGCGAGCCACCACGGGGTGGCAGCGGGAGGCGGAGCGTCACCGTGACGGTGAAGGAGAGGAGGGTCGTGCTGCGGGGAGGGCGGCACCGGGGCGTGGAGGTGAGGAGGGGGTGGATGGAGAACGTGGGTGGATGGAGAAGGACATGGATGGATGGAGAAGAACGTGGATGGATGGGTGGAGAAGACCATGGATGGATGAAGGGAGGACGTAGACGAAGAAGAACGTGGATGGTTGGAGAACATGGATGGTTGGATGGAGAAGAACACGGATGGATGGGTGGAGAAGACCATGGATGGATGAACATGGGTGCAGAAGACCATGGATAGATGAAGGGAGGAGGACGTGGATGGAGAAGACCATGGATGGTTGGAGAACGTGGATAGTTGGATGGAGAAAAACGTGGATGGATGCGTGGAGAAGACCATAGATGGATGACCATGGATGGAGAAGACCATGGATGGATGGAGAACCTGGATGGATGGAGATGGATGGCTGGAGAACACGGATGGATGGAGATGGATGGAGATGGATGGAGAAGGACATGGACAGGTCAATGGAGATGTGGATAAATGGAGAAGAGCAGGAGTGGGTGGATGGAGAAGGGGATGGATGGAAAAGGATGGGAAGAAGGGAGGAGGACATGGATGGAGAAGATTGGTTGACCAACTGGATGGAAGGAGAAGGTTGGAGAAGGTTGGGGGGATGGATGGAGTAGAAGGATGGACAGAGGAGAAGGTTGGACGATGGATGGATGGAGAAGAAGGTTGGATGGATGGAGAAGGTTGGGTGGATGGATGGAGGAGAAGGTTGGATGGATGGAGGAGAAGGATGGATAGATGAAGGTTGGATGGATGGACGGAGGAGAAGGTTGGATGGATGGAGGAGGACAACTGGCCAGTTGGCTTGAAGGACCAGGGTGGAGGAACCACATGGGGCATCCAACCAGGTCCCCCCCTCCTCACGCCCACCCCACCCCACGCAGGTGGACGGTGTCGCGGTGCCGCTGCCCTTCTGCCTGCAGGACCGGGCCGTCTGCGTGTCACCCCAGGGTGCCACCGCCCTCCTCCTCCTCACCGACTTCGGCCTCCGCGTCACCACCGGCCCCGGGGTTACCGAGCTACCGTAACGTCACCTGCGGCCTCTGCGGCAACTTCGACGGCCACCCCTACAACGACCACCTCTACAAGGCCACCACCACGTGTCACCGGCCCTGCCCCGGTCCCACGTGTCCACCCTGTCGCCAGGCCACCA